GCCATCGTGACCGCTGTAGACTGAGCTTCGGACACGTGAAACGCTTCTGTTGCGTTCACTTCGAGTAATTGTCGATAGACCGTATCCAGAACTTGTTCATGTGTCGAGATATAGTGACTGAGAGACGCACGTAGAAGCACTCGACGACGAGATATCATGACGAGCTCTCAAAGCACTATGTTAGGGCGTGATAGAGTTAGAGGGACGTCATTGGATGGGCAGACAGAGAGATGTAGCCAGCTGAATAGGTACTTGAATACGTACTTAGGGCGCATTGAGTGCGCGGCTTTTTTGACATCGCGCCGTAGATACTACTGAAACAGATACTACTGCTCCAGCTATCGTTGCAAATCAGACACCACTGGGCACGTTTTGGCACAGAAACGATCATGGACGTGGAAACGCAAGCCGTAGTTTTGCTCTATCTGGACCATAGTTCACTCTATTTGCGCCATACTGATCCAAGTCTTGGGATATCCTCCTCCTCTATTCAGCTTCCAGCATAATCATCATGAAGTACCCGATGGAGGATATAAATCATTGGTAAACGTGGTAAACAAAGCCATACTCCGATGCATTCTCAGGATCCTGCAACCCACAACCAGCATCCGAGCAAAAGGATCAACGCACATACCGATCCATATCTCATGTATATTCGCGCCGCATTATTCCTAACTCCTCTTAGTACCATCGCGACGACGTCGACATTGAGTGAAAACCGCGTGTCGAATCAATGAAAGACGTACTTCACTGTACCTGCACACGTTTCGAGCCTCTGGATCGACTACCAACTCACCGTCTTATTCTATCGACTGCAACTGCTCCTTCGTCACGCACACCTTCGGATGGCAGTCCATCAATCACTCAGTCGGTCCATCGCTCACCCGTCCGTCGGTCTCGTGCAGCTCCCTCACAAAACCTCAATGCAGCGCCTTCACTCACTCACCCAAAAAGGGGCAGCCACTTGCCAGATCGCTCCACTGCGCACGAGGTCCACGACCGCATCAATGTCTGGTTTCATGACGCGGTCCTTGTCAAGTTTCGGTACACGCGTGCGCACGACTGCATGGACAGCTTCGGGTACTGCTGTCGTCCGTAGTGGCCGAAGGAGATCGAGCGCTTGGCAGGCCGCCAGTAGCTCAATGGCAACGACTGTCTCGACGTGCTCGACGACCGTAAGGGCCTTCCGAGCTGCAAAGCCGCCCATGGACACGTGGTCTTCTTTCGCTCCACTCGTCGAGATCGAGTCCACGGACGACGGATGAGTGAGCACTTTGTTCTCCGACACGAGCGCAGCGGCCGTGCAGTGGGCAATCAGGAACCCGGAGGATTGAGCCCTCCGTCCGGCACGAGGAACGCCGGCAAGTGACTCAATGTCGGGTTCACCAGTCGCTCAATGCGACGTTCACTGATGCTGGCGATCTCGTGGACGCCAATGGCCAAGTAGTCCAGCGCCTTGGCCGGGTACTCGCCATGGAAGTTACCTCCTGAGATGACAAACCCATCGCCACCACGGTAGAACGTGTCGGACGTGCGCTTCATGTCCGCAGTGAAGCGCTCCATTGTCTCGTACTGCTGCACGCTGTTGTCGTTCAGTAGCGCCCGAAGCCGCTGAATCTCCCGGTTGGCGTCTTCGAGGTCCGTGATCTTCGGTTCACTCAAACGCAACTCAGCGTCGCACTTGTCCACCGACATCTCCTTCAATGCCACCGGAGCTACTGCTGCTGGTGGGTATCCGATATCCGCTGCCACGTCGGCTGCCGGTCCCGTAAAGACCATGGGGTTGTCCGTCGCGCTGTTCATTTCGACGGTCAGCACTTGCCGCACAAAGGCGATCGTGTCGTGCACAATGCCGTGTACCTGCGGTGCACAGCGCAGCGAGTAGGCGTCTTGGACTTTGCCAACGTAGTTGTGGCTGCGAAACAACTCGGACGGGTCATCGGGACTCAGCAGTGTGCGGACACGTGCCGCCACGCGCGCTTGGCCAATATGGGGACGAGCTGCGTGGATACGCGGGTGGAAGGCGTTCACCGTACCGCAGAGCACTTCGAGCGATAGTGCAACGACCACGTCGGCACAGTTTGTGACGTTCTGTGCGCGCACGAGCGCTTCGACCCCAATGGACGTGATCAGTTGCGTGCCATTGATCAACGCGAGTCCTTCTTTCGCCTCGAGCTGCAACGGGTGCAACCCGTGTTTCGCAAGGACTTCAGCTGCGTCGCGGATTACAACGTCGTTGTTGTCAGTAGTGTCCCACATGAGCCCTTCGCCCAGCAACCCGAGCGCCAAGTGCGCGAGCGGGGCCAAGTCCCCCGACGCCCCCACAGTGCCTTTGCTCGGGACAAGCGACAAACACGACGCGTTGAACGCGTCGACGAGCTGGTGCAGCGTGGGGACGCGGATGCCGGAATGGCCTTTGGCCAGTACATTGATGCGGAGCGCAAGGAGCATGCGCGTCTGCGCAGGGGTTAACGGGTCCCCTGTGCCCGACGCGTGCGACCGAATGAGATTCGCCTGCAGCACTTTGAGCTGGTCGGGCTCGATCACGACCGTGGAAAAGAGCCCAAAGCCCGTGTTGATGCCGTACGCGACGCGGGTGGGGTCTTCGAGGACCGCATCGACCACGTCGCGACTGCTTGACACGCGTGTCCAGGCGTCGTCACTGAGGGAAATGGAAGTCGCACCTTTCGACAGTGTCAGGAGGTCTTCGGCGCAAAGGGACTCGCCATCGAGCACGAGTACGGATTTGGTCGACATGTGTGTGCACAGGATGGATCGAATGGAGCTACTGATGAGGAGGAGGAAGAGGAAGACGGTGGGTGGGGTGGGATAACTCGCACTGGCTGATGGTGAATGAACGGATGGAAGTGGAAGAGATAATGGGCTGCGGCGTGAGGGATCGATGCGTACAAGTGGTAAGCGGTGGCCGCTGCATGCAGTTGCGGTACATCTTGTTGACAAGGTGAGATGGTGTTGTTCGCGGTTTGAGCTGCTATATCAGTACAAAACGAGCGAGGCACACGGGGAAAGTGCCGACAGTCGCTGTGGTTGGCTTGTCCGTGTACTGGATTAAGCACGTGATTAGACGACGATTTGTTGAAGTTGCACGAGCTTTCGTGAGATATCGGTACTTCTGTACGCAGAGAATAACACGTTTTGCACGATTGGATGCAACTGGAGCTTGCGCTTGAAGTCAGCCGTCTGGATGAACAGTGTGGCCACAACAGTCAACTGTCAGAAGACGATTAATGGACAGGAGAGCAAGCTCTACATCATTACAGGCAGCACTTGCTACTCGAGTGTAGGAAGTGGCCCCGGATGCGCACAAGCGAAGTGCAACTTGGCTGTCTCGACGGACGTGCTACGTGGGCAACTGCCGACTGGAACTCGTTCCGATCGCAGTCGCAGTCGCTTTGCAGTGTGTGTTGACAGTTCTTCTGCCTGGTAGCTACAAATTGTTTTTGTTGACGGGTGCTGCAGACAAGCATTGCATGAGTACACGATCCCAGGCAGCTGTTGTATTCAGGTGTGTGCTGCATTGGGACGAGTTGCCAGAGCATAAGCGTCAGGTAGTACGTCATGCACCTCATAGATTCGCGTCAGTTCAATCTGATTGCGTCGTCCTGCGTAGCATGTTGGACTAATCTTGACGTCACAGCGACTCGATGCAGCCTGTCACGTAACACGTTTGTCAGTATCTACAAATCTATTTGATAGCTTTTGATGATGAGATGCACAGCTTTAACTACGCGAGCAGGTGGTGGTGCCACCATTGCAAGCGCCGATCACCGAAAGCGCATGCACGACTTTTCCCCTATGCATACGCTTTGACACGGACCACATTGCGTTCACCTCGTAGACGTCGTTTCAAGTCTCGACAGCGACGTAGCTACGCAAAGCACAACTTACTGTTGCGATCGGAACAAATGGTGCGGCGTGACACGGTCAACATTCTACCTACGTTTATTTCGTTGCCCTGTGCTCGCATAACGCAGTTGACGGTCCTCTTGTGATCGTTTCATCGGTTTCTCGTAAACTTGTCAACCCACAAGTGGCACTACACAACTCCGCAGCTTTTATCCTTCAGGCTTACCACGTCGCTGATGGTCTAGCTTCACCAACCTTTGGCCCGAGAGCGCAAGGCCACCACACACTCCAATCGCGACTGTGGTTCTTCCCACGAAGGTGACATCAATAGCAAATCGACATGCTGCTGTCGTACACTTCTTCCTGTCATTCACCATCATTAGGTTGCCAAGCGAAGCCACCTTTTTCAAAACTCATAACAAAGTCCAAGTGAAGACTAGGGCCCAAGCTGTGCCAAGCGGCCATTCATCTTTTCGCGAGAGAAGGCGAGCCGATCTACGTACAACTCGTACTTCTCTTTGGCGAGCTGCTCCTTCTCGGCATACACTGTTTGCTCCAATACAGCTAGCTGCTGCATCTTCAACTCCATTTGACGCAACTGATTCTCCACAAGTTGCTGTACCAGATCCTCCACAGGTCCATTGGCCATGTCATCGGCAATCTTTTGCGACCGCGTTGCCAAGAGTGCAACTGTCGTGGCATTCGCCGCTTCTTCGATGACCGCAATCATCTCCTTCGAGACTGGCGCTGCATGGCCCTTGCTGGGATCTTCCGTTTTCGAGGTGGACCCGACAATCGTGTTTGACGACGAGGCATCCTCCATAGTCACATTGCCGTCCACAAATAGTGTGTCCTCTACTTTGACGCTCGATCCGATTCCTGCAACCTCTGCGCTGCTGGCAACTGCCGCTGCTGCATCCTCAAGCGAAGAAATGCATCCATCACTGGTCGTAGACGACCCTAACATTTGCGAAGCGCTCTCTACCTTGACTTCAGCTGCATCGCCCTTTGCTTGGTCCTTCATCGTAGCCAACGATGCCTCTAGTGGCGACGTTGCTACTTTTGCTGGCATCGTGTGCAACCGCTTGATGGCACCTATCGCAGCGTGAGCTGCAGCTTTTGCAACGAACGGGTCAACCTGTTCGACGAGAGAAACCAGATCAAGCACAGGTGCATTCAGAGCTGCTCCAGCAGAAAACGGTCGCATCGAGTCCACTAGGTCACCAACACTTGCCTCTCGATCACCCATCGACGCCGACATGTTGAGCATGGGCATTTCTAAAAAGTGCAACAAACACTCGTCTGCTGTCTTCGAGCCGACCTTGGACGCCACGTAATTCCAATCACAGCTATCCTTGCCCTCATCCTGTTTATGCACGCTCTTGGTCCTATTAGCCTTCGTGCTGCTATTCACAGCCGTCAGTAGTCGATCGTTCTCTTCCTGCGTCCACGACGATGCTGCGGACAGATTTCTCGCTACGGTAGGCATCAGCACGAAATCCGAGACATCGTAGCCTTCTGGATAAGCTCCACGAATGTAGCACGCTTCACAAATGCCACTGCCCGGTCGCAGTGCAAACCCTCGTACCGTCACTTCTTGGCCTTCACCTGCTTTGCCGCCAGTCCCATTCATCCCATGCAGTGCACTCAACGCGTGCCCCACTGCCCCACTTGTCGTCAACTTTTTCTTTGCTTCACTTGTGAGCTCAAAAAACAAATCGTCCACTTGTCTCGCCACGCCACACGCTTCACACGCCAACGGAACGTTCATTCGACGTCCACTCTCCTTTTGACTCGCTACGAGCATTGCCACTGGACTCGGCCCGTCCCGAAACGACCCACCACCACTACCACCACCACCACCAACAGCAGCAGTAGAACTACTATTACTGACCGCGTGGAGCGCGTAGTTCGAGTGAATGGCTGGCGGCATCGCGTGCGGCGGCACGTGGAAATTGATCAGTCCCCAGTGCGTGAGGAACTCGTGCACGCGGAGGATCGCACAGGCGTCTCCTGCCAAGTGCCGGCGACAGGCCGTGGCCGTCAGGTACACGTCGGGCTGCTGGCGCGACGCGTGGACCATATAATTGCGGTACTTGAGGTACAACTCGGCGGTCTTCGAGCCCTGAGAGGCGCTGAAGAACTCGGGCAGCATGCGCTGTTCAATGGGATTGATCTTGTCCATGGAAAACCACGTGCTGCAGCGCGGCACGGCGACAACAGGCGCTCTAACGGACGGGCCAGTCGAGTCGACGGGTGCGTGTCGCGCAGATGGCGCTCCTGGGCGTGGTGGGGCACGTCCAGAGACGAGACGAGGTGCAGTCGACGCAGCAGACGATGCAGCAGGAGATGCGCGTGACAGCGAGGCGCGGGACGGACTGGGTGACGCGTGGGGAGCCGCCGACGAGGCCGCGGGGCGCGTCGTGTCGACCATTTGATTGCGCGTGTGGCGGAAGATGTGATGGATGTGGACCACACACACACATGAGACATCGCGGTATGCGGACGAGAGGTATATTGGAGCGAGTGGGGGTGATACCGGTAGAGCGGAGAGCGCATGTGGTACGTAAGTGCAAGTAATTTATTCGGTGATGTCGGTGACAGCCAGAAGCAATATGTCCGACGGACGACGACGAGTGTACGACCACGGATGGACGATCGTGGTACCCGGAAAAAAGTAAACATAGTGTCAGTGAGATGTAATTTTCGATTGACTTTTTTAGGTTTGCAGGGGTACAAAGCAAGTTATGGTGTTTGTTGGTTCAGTAGTGGAAATCAGCTGTACGCTCTCTTTTCAGTTATTGCGTAGCAGCTCTTACACGTCGCTTGATTTGGTAGTTCTCAATACACCCAGTTCGTCCAAAAACGCACGGGCGTTCTCTAAACTGCACTTTTCGTGGTAAAAAGCGAAACGTGGGTCGACTTGTGCCCCTCGCGACAGCACGGATGTACACGACTCGTATATCCTTGCCGACCGCTGTCAGTATATACGTCGATCAGCAGTTCGTCCAATGTAGAAAGTGATTACGGAATGCGCACAAGGGTAAGAGAAGGATACGAATGGCTCATAGTAGACACCGGATAGTATGAACCTCATAAGATGGCATGACACGATTGTATTTACACCAACAGATCGATTGCATGCCCTGGAAGCTTCTTTCCATTTTGCTGCAGTGCAACTCACGAGTAGGTCTCATCAAAGTTGTGAACTGCACGAGTGAGCGTGTCGCGTATCAGAAGCATATCGACTCATGTAGATCCTGTACCAACACGATTCCTGCAGCTTGAACAGGTGCTGTCGCTACTTCAGAGCAAACGTTCTCCAAGCATAAGGTTTCCGATTTTCCGTTTTCAACATGCAATATACACATTGTTCGACAAGAACGATCCGTTTGTTTCGATAAATTCTCTTAAAAAAAATAGAAGCAAGGGTTGTTGCAGTTATAATGCCTGCCAAGTGAAACAGCAATACCAGGCTGTACGAAATAACACTATTTGCCCATGTTGATGGTGGCCCCTTTCGCCGTTGCTGCTAGTGTCGGCACTGTCTTCTTTCTCCTTCAGCTTCATCGTATTAGATGCATCGCCATAACAAAAAGTGACGCCTCCCATCCTGTAAAACGTATCATTTCCGGCAACAATCTACAGGTTGTACTTCTCAGCGAGAAGAGAAAGTGACTCTACACTCCTACGTGTTTTTTTTGCTGCCTTCTGACATCACGACGTGGAGCTAGGGTGGTGGCTACAGCCAACATGTCATTGGAAACAAAACAGTAGCAGATGTAGCTGTATCGGACGAGCGGTTGTTACCATGTAGAGGAGCTATACAGCTCCTTGTTACAGAAGAAGACTTTAACGCTCAACGAGCAACTCAAGGTTCAATGAGCCCG